GCTCCTGCTGCTGCTCCTGTCGCCGGCCCAGGCCATGCTACTCCCGCCCCTCGTGGACGTGGCCAAGATGGCACGGATTTGGGCCACGGCCACCTGCGGAGAGCCGGATCCGGACAGTCCCCAGCAGGACCCGGGCAGGGACGAGCCCATGCGCTTCTGCCAGTTGGTTAGCCCCATATACCACACCAAAACCAAAACCATCCAGGTATGGCCGCTCGGAGCCGGGAGGGAGCCCACGGCAGGGAAGGGTCCCGGGCGGGAGGAGGGCGGCGGGCCTCGTGCCAGACCCGAAATCTCCGACTTCTCCCCCCGCGGTGTGTGTCAGGAGAGGACTTACACGTTATAGAGGTAGTGTCTCTCTGATGTCACGGAAAAGATGGCAACACTTAGCCGGCTGCCTGAAGGAGCCCTTCGAGGTTGGGAGATGGGCGTGGCGCATGAGCGCCTGGGGATCGGATCGCGGGGCTCACGCCTGGTCCGCACCTCGCCTGGCCTCGCCGCCTGCCCTCGACCCCGCGCCGAAGCTGAGCGAGTGCATTTGTCCTGCGGGGGGCTGAGGCATCTGAGTCCCATCTGGCTCCAAATCCTCTGCGCTAAGCCACCGTCCCCCCACGGTCCTGGAGAAACTGCCAGGGAAGAGAAACTTTGCCAGTAAGTTTGGAAGGAGCGTTTCAAAAGTGCAAGTTCAGCCTGGCCGTGGTGGCACGATTTGGGCCACTGGCATCTGCGGAGAACAGGGCCTCGGGAGGCCCTAGCCTGAGCTCTCCTGCAAATTGGTCCAAGTGTCTAGGTTAGTATGTCAGAGGTGCTTTTGACCATGCACTTGCAAAAATGAAAAGTAGTTGAACATGCAATGCCATGTGTGCTTCTTTATGAATTATATGCATGTGTTGCCATGTTAATATGCTGTGCGTGTCATAAAAAAGGAAAGGTTAAAATAACAATGGCAAAAATGCTTTTAATTTTAACAGCCTCGGAATAATTTTGTTTTCTCTGTTTCGTGATTGTGGATAACGGAATGTGCAAATATACAGTTGGGTTTTTTTTATTTTTCGGTTCCAGGGATCAAACTCAGGTGTGGTGCCACTAAGCGAAATCCCCAGCCCCTAAAATGTCTAGATTTTAACAAGTTGGGTTTAGCAGTTACGATTTAACAATTCTAGGTCAATGTCATAATAATACTGGATTTTAATCAGGGGGTTACGTAGCTGAGAACATATCCTAAACAGCACATAAACTCCGATGGAAGAGCTGCCTTGACTACTGAATTCCAGAGTCCTGTGAAAAATGGAAATACCGATTCCCTGTCTAAAGATTAAGAGAATTTAGGATGGTGACAGTAGCACATTAAACTGAGGGGCCCTGCTGACTGTGCGCCCTGGGAGACTGCCCGGGTCGTGTGCTGCCTGAGCTCACTGACTCCGCACTTATCCTTCAGTCATTCCAAAGTTTTTTTAAAAATTTATTTATTATTATTTATTTTTTAATTTTTCCGGTACTGGGAATGGAACTCAAGGCCTTGCACTTGCCAGGCAGGCGCGGGTGCTGAACGATATCCCTGGCCCTATTCTGAAGTTTTTTTTTGTTTAAGTAGAAACTTGGCTGGTAAATTGTTCACTTTTCAGGTTGTATTCAGGATTTCTGCTAGGAAGACTTGCAGCTTAATGTTTTAAATAGTAGACTCAGCACTCACTGTAAATTTTCTTTTGGGAACTATTAAAATATATTAGAAAATTTTGTTTCCACATTTAAAAAAGGCAAATATGAATATTTTTAGGGTTCTACAGTTCTCTTGATTCAGCCACAGAAGCATCTGTCTTTCAACATTCTTTTTTCAAGACATATATTTTCTTAGGACAGTGTTTACTTTTCTGCAAGGTGTTAAAATAACACCTTTCCTTTGATGGGTTAGAGCAAGTGCCTTTATTATTTTGTAAATATCTATCAAGTAGTGTATTGCTGGCAGCCACTTGTCATTCCAGCAGAAGTGAGCAAATTTGGATTTTTTTTTTTGGGTGGAAAAACCGTGTAACTCTTCTTTAAATTTAAAAGGCTCTTTAAGAGTTTTACTATAGTGGACCCTCGGTTACAACCAGCCGGACATACAACTTGGGTTATGCCTGGAATTTTAGTTTTAACTTAACTACCAAAGTGTGGAGTTATATCCTGAATGCCGGCTGCCTGAGCTTCCAGATGGTCTCAGATACAGATTTAACCCTTAAAGAGTTCTGGAAGGAACATTTATGTCATCATCCTTTCCTGTGTGGAGTTCATCGAGAAATCCTGGGCCAAGGTCTCTCTAAGGACAGTGAGATCTGCGTGGAAGAAAGTATGGCCTAAAATTATACAGGAGGGAGACTTTGAAGGCTGCGTAGAGGAATCTGAGCCTTCAGTTGACCACCTTGCGTTACAACCAGCCCTCGAGAATGAACTGAGTTCATAAGTCAAGGGTCCACTGTGTATGGTAATTCATGAGTTCTGTGTAGTCTGAAGAATTTCACAGTCACTTTCCATTTCAATAGTGGGTTGTAACTTATTTGTTGTTTTGGAGGAAGCACCCATATGTGCACCTAACCAGGCACATGTTAAGTGTCAGGTGATAGCCTGTCTTCTTCCCAGACACTCCAGACCATTGCTAAATTGTGACTCACTAACTTTGGTGGATGAAGGTCCTGTTATTCTGTGTACCACCTATTATTAAAATGGAAAATTTCATTTTTAAGTAAAATAAGGATGGCCAGCAACTTTAATATTTCCTTCATGAACTGTGCTGGATTTCCTAGCACATCTGATATTGGAAAGAGTGATCCTAATTAAGGGTAGAGTAGATGTGAGGAGAGGGAAGGCATCAAAGACACCCTCACCTGCCTCTGCTTACCCAGATTTGCCCCAAAGGGACATTCTCCTTCTCACCTTGATCGTGCAGAGGTTAACATGACTGGGCTAGAGGACCAGAAAAAAATCATGTCTCCTATTCTAACTGGTTTTCTAGAGCAGGTCATTAAACACGGGCCCCTAATGCTAGACAGGGTGGGCAGTGCTTTGTGAGGTCACCCCACAGTCTGTCTCTAGGCCAGCACGAAGCCTGCAGAAAGAGAATGCTGTCTGGTGTTGTGCTGTCCTCTCTCTTGCAAATAAGGTTGAACAAAAGCCCTCCTGAGCTGTACTTTCTGTTTTCACATGGAGGGTTTAGGAAGGTGTGCTGCTTGCTGACAAAGAAGTGTGCTGGGGACAAGAAAGGGTCATGAAGGCCTGGAGGTGGGACCACTAGACACTCACTATAGCCCAGCGTTGGTAGCAGTTGATATTGATTTGCTTTTCAGAAAAGGGCAAAGTGGTGAGAGATGGTAGAGAACAGAAGAATGATTGTGATTACGTATCTGTTATACCAGAGTGATGCTTGAATTGAATCTGCTCGTGTATGACTCCAGATAGGAAATTGAGAGGAGTTAACCAAAATGATAGTTCTATTTCTTTGAACTTTCTAAAAATAAATCATTGAGGTGAGGCACGATTTACAATTTGAAGCCAAAAGGATTTTGCAAAATATGTAAAAATAAAGAATAAAGGTCACATCTTGGAAAAAAATTTGGTTCTACTGTAGTGATTTTTTTGATAGTACATTTATAACACTGATGCTAATATTGAATGGTAGCCATGTTAACAAGCAGAGTATTTTTTAAAAGTCTGCGCCTTGTTTTTGTGTGAAAAATGCTCATTGTAGTTTCTCTGGATTTAAGATTTCTTTGAAAAGGTTTTATGTCCTCATCACTGCTCCAAGTTTTTGGTGGTAGAGACTCCTGTAATTCAGGGGTCTGGTCCCTTTGTTCACACCTGTATCGTGTTTAGCACAAAGTCTGGAACAGTACAGGTGCTCAGAAAATGTAGAATGAAGGATGGTGGACGAAGATAAGTTAAAGGCTCTATAGAAGTTAACATAAAGGGTAATGGAAAAAAAAGTTCTGTTGGAAAATAATTAAAAATGAAATATGTCATACTTTGTGCTTTAGTTTTAAATGTTTGTTCACCTGTAGAATCTGAAGATATTACATATTATTATATCTGGCAAAGGCAATGAAAAAATGGAAATAGAAAGCCATGTTGAAATATAACATAGTGCTTAGTTCAGCCTAGCACAAAAACTATATTTATAAGGTTGAAATGTACACATACACCTAACCTGATCTTTATTGTATACATTGACAGTTCAATACATCTTTTATTCATTCCTTAATTGTTCCATGATTTATGTATAGGGCTGTGTGTTTGCCCTCATTGATACTGATAGAGAAATACACACCCATGAGTGATGGCCAAGAATGAGAAAAGCCAGAAAGCAGTTTCAATGCTAGGTTTGTGTAACTTGGACTAATGGCCATAAACAGGAAACTCAATTTTGCCAGGTCTTTGTTTATAGAACTATTGTGAAAGAAAATCACTGGTCAGCTTCAATAAGGGCTTTTCCTTTCACTGATGTGAAATTTTTGGCTGAGGAGCCAAAGATTTTTGCTGCATCTATTAATATATTTGTAATAATTATTATTGATAAGTTATTTTGACACATACAAATGATGAGTCAGAAACTTAAGAATAAATGATTTTCCTAATATTTGTTCCCGTTTTGTGGAAACTAGTCAAATTTCAACAATGAAAACTTATGTACAAATCACACAAAGAAGACAAACATAAGTGTTTTCCCTGGAAAGCCAAGTTCACTCACAGTTAAGGGACATAGTTTTACAAATAAAACTAAAAGCAGTTTAAATTTTTTCCCACAAAGTACAGATGACTGGAGTATATGGACTTTTCTTTTTGGTGTTTTTAAGACATGGTCTCACTATGAAGTTCAGGCTATCCTTGAACTTACTTTGTAGCCCCTGGCTGTCCTTGAAATCAAGCAATCCTCCTGCCTTAGCTTCCCTAGTGCTGGGATTTCAGATATATGCCACATGTCCAGCTGGAGCTTATGGGCCTTTAGAGTGTTTGATAAACAGTCAGAACTACAAGTGTTCAACCCTTGAATTTAAAAATTTTACTTTATGCTCAGAATTACTGTTATCATTGAGAGTCTGGATCATTTAACCTGAAATAAAAAATGTATAGTCACAAGAAAAAGAGAAGGCAAGAATGTACCATTAATTCTAGCCCCTTCCTTGTAGAATAGTATCTAAATCATTCCAAAATAAGTGAGTTGCATATCTTTAG